AAATATTAATGGCCCCGGAAAGGACACCAATGAAATATCAAAGGCCTGGGGATGGCCCGGATAGGACACCAATGAAATATCAAAGGCCTGGGGACGCCCCAGATAGGACACCAATGAAATATCAAAGGCCTGGGGATGGCCCGGATAGGACACCAATGAAATATCAAAGGCCTGGGGATGGCCCGGATAGGACACCAATGTCTTAAATTCTTCTCATACTGATCTGTGCTCTAACCCACACTGGACTACTACTTCAGTTGAGAATGGAAAAGATTATTATACAACATCAACAAATTTCTTGAAGTCTCTCATACCTTTGCAGGTATGTCTTACTCAGTAAGAAATATATCAAAACGGATCAAACCCACCTCCAGATTCCGGGTGATTCTTCCCAATAAAAAGAACAGTAAATACTGCAGTGACTCAGAGGGTTGGAAGTCTAAGCCCACTGTTGTGGGTCTGGAGATACGTTTGATAAACACCAACCGTTTGAGACACTGATATTATACTCTTACCTTGGAAAATGTTTCTAAAACAAACAAAAGCATTCTTTCTTCATAATCACCACAGTGCCTTGTGTGGTAGGAAATCTTATCTTCAGATACTCATAGGTTACATTCCAGAAGTTTCCCATGTGTTTATCTGGGTTGTCCACGGATCTGGAGTAAGGTCGGCTTCATGGGAGGACACAGTTTATCACGCATATCTTGGAAACATTTGTGGAGAATATTGCGGAGACTCCACTGCAGCAGCCAGCCCTCTCGGTTTGACAAACCAAGCCTGGAAAACACTAGCAGAGCATTGCTACACACTAATGCATTGCAATGGACTGTAGGAAGGCCAGCCGGCTTGTGCATGTGTGTGATTCTCTCCCATTATGTACTAAAATACACCTGCAAGCTTTGTGCATTACCTGCATTACACTTCTTTGGACAAAAGCACCTGCCAAACAAATATAAATTTTAAAATGATGAGGGGAGGAAATTAACTACCAAAGCCAAAAACTCACATAACTCTGTCTTCCAAGGCTCCACCCGATTGCTACATTCAGTATAGTGTTATATTGTTCACTTGAGCAAGCACTAATATGATTACCCAGAACCAGATTTACAATATTGCCAAGCAGGAAAACGTGCGCCGGTGTGCGAGTCTGTCTGAAGAACATTCTTCAGCTAATGCCATTATGTTTACATATTATAATAAAGTGTTATTTTGGAACATTGTTTTTTTTTTTCCTTCACCCTCATCTTCTCACTGTAGATCAAAAGTAGGCAACCCTGACTCTAGAGTGTCAGTATCCAGCAGGTTCTCTCTCTTAGCTGGTCTCTGATTAACCCACTGACCTCAGGCAGATAGTAACTCATCAGGTAGGATAGGGTTAGGGTTAGGGTTAGGGTTAGGACCTAGGTTAAACCTGCTGGATGGTGGCACTGCAGGAATAGGTTTGCCTACTCCTGCTATAGATGAATCCAGATAAACTTTGTTCTGTTCATATCTGCGTCACAATACTCCTCCATCCACTCCTTCACAACAGCACGTGAGCTCAGGTCCAGCATGTGCAGAACATGACACTGCTCACATCAGAGATAAGGGCGCTGCCAGAGTGAGACCGGGTGGCACGTTTAGAACACTGCCCACACTGGCCTGTGAGTGCCTTGGCACCCAGTCACGCCTGCCCCGCAGAAAGGTCCTGGGCGGGCTCTGGCACCGGGCAGGCTGGGTAAACAGCAGACTACACCTCTCCCCGCCTCGCAGGGTGCGATCAGAGCTCAGCTTTCCTGTGCAAACACGACGGTGTTGTTTTCTCACCAGCTGCACGGCACAGAAACTCAACACTGTGTGAACCACATCTGACCACGGGCTAGAACCTCCACAGCTACTGCACATGAGAAATGGAGGTCAATACGAGAGCAGCTTTCCTTACCACATGTGTGCGCCTGGATTGTTTGGCTACACTTTAACGGTACAAAGGGAAGAGCAAAGAACCAGAAATATTGCCCGTACCCTTAGAGGAAAAAACATTATGCGGTACAAAGGTCCCTGAAGACAAGCACTTCTTTCTTGCCAAAATATTGTGGCTTCTGAGCAGCTGTATCATGTACCTGTTACTCCTGAGTAATGAAAATATTTCAGAATAGGGGCAATTTGGCCTGCCTCATGTCAGGGAATTCTGTCAAAACGTGCGCAGTAAAGTTATGACTGAAACAGGGATCACAAAGGTGAACTTTAACCAAGCCTTGGTTGTTCAGGGCTTGTCCGTCTGTTGGCATTCTTGTTTAAGGTTTTAACCACAAACTGGTCAGACACTGCAGGGTTAATAAACATGATGCATTGCTTTAAACCTGCCATATTTTTGGGTGATCGTGAATAAAATTGGAACAGTGTGGAGGAACTGGAAGGCAGTATCAGAGGGCCAAGTAAGAAGGAAGAGAAATCAGTAGTGTTGTAGTTATCGAGACCGCTATGTCCGAGACCAAGACAAGACCGAGACCAAATAGAGTCGAGACCAAGACAAGACCGAGACCACAAAAAATTGGTCT